TATTGAGAACGGTATTGATTTTTTTATTTCTTTTTCAGCAATCTCTTTGCTGGTGTAGAGGAATCCAACTGATTTTTGGATGTTGATCTTATATCCTGTGACGTTGCTAAATCCCTCAATTAGTTCCAGTAGTTTTTTGATTGAATCTCTTGGGTTTTCTGGGTATAGGATCATATTTTAACTTTCTGATATCATTTCTAGTGCCCTTGTCAGTTTTTTGAATATTGAAATATGTTTCTGATTATAGAGTTAACTGTGCATACATAGAAAGTTAAAGCAAGACTGATACATTGATAAAAAGCTTAAGTCACCCACATAAATCCTATGCCCCAAAGGTTACCACCAGGAAACATTTTCTTTGAGAAATGTGCATATATGAATATGTAACTGCTTAAAGATGATATTTTCTCAAGTTTTTATGAACATTATTTTAGGTCAACAGATAAGGTTGAAAATGGTCACCTGTGGTATGAAAAGATGCACAACTAGGTCTTCAAACGTTCCCTAGTGATTGGTCTATTGGTCTCAATCTTTTTCCAATGAAGTGCTTAGAGTTTAAATTAGCATAAGTGAAGAAAGTACATGTTCTTTCTCCAGTGATATGTCTTATGTGATGTTTCGTTGGATGGTGGTATGAAATATTGAATCATCCAATGTTTAGAGTTACACCTACCTACTCAGGGTATGGAGTCCTAGGTGGTACAAATGCTTAATGTAACCAAAACGTTGGTGGTTTGAGCACCCAGAGAAACCTGGAAAGAAAGACTGGTGACATGTTTCCCAAAACTCAGCTACTGGAAGAGTAGCATTTGCCCAGGGACAAAGTTTGGAGGGCGGGAAGTGTTAGGAAAGAAGGAGAAATGGAAACAAGAAACACAGGGAGGAGGTGAGAGGAATGATGTTACCTTGAGGGAACTGCAGCCAGTGACATGAAACAAATGTGTATGGATTTTTAAATGGAAAACTCACTTGCTCTGTAAACTTTCACCCAAATCACAATAAAAAGTTGTCAAAAATTAAATGAAGGAAAGAAAGAAAAAACACCTATGGAGCATAAATTTACTACATGAGGCCACCATGAATCAGTGTCCAGTTGATAGCAACTGGTTAGGTTTGGTTGTTGAGGTATCTGCCCAGAGCAATTCTCAATATCTTCAACATGGTGGCCAAATACTGGTTTTTGTCTCCAGAAATCCTCGGTAAATTCCTTCATCTCTTCCCTGCAGATCCCAGAAGGATCAACACATGCTACCTTTCTGGATGGACCTTTGCTCCGTGTTTGGCTCAAATAAGAATCTGACATCTCTGGACATCAGTCAAAGCTTCCTTAGTAACACCTCACTGAGGGTTATTTGTGAGAACGTAGCCTCTGCCACTCATAGTCTTCAGAAGGTGGTGTAAGTGAAAGATGGCGGCCCTGGGGTGAGACCCCGAGGGCATGACCAACCTTGTGTTCTGACAGTGCAGCAATGTTTGAACCCCTGTCCTTAGATTTGTCTACTGGGAGAACCATAGAAAGTAATTTTAATGAAATATGAACTACGGTTTGGACAGCCACAGAACGCCATGAGGGACATCAATTATGATGACCATAGGGCTACACGTAGGACAGGGTTTCTCAACCTCTGTTGACATTTGGGGATGGAAATGCCCTTGTTGAGGTATAGGGAATGTCCCGTGCATTGTAGGATGTTGAGAAGTATCCTTGGTCTCTACTCACCAAGTACCACTAGCACCCATATACCCCTGTGATGGTTTGTGACACCCAACATGCCTCCAGTCGTTCCCCAATGTCCCCAGGTGGGTGCCCAGTCACCCCTAGTCGAGAGCCTCTGATGTAGGGAGATGGAGATAAACATGTTGGGCCAAGCTTTAAAATTGAGCATTGGGAAGGGACTGCCACTTGGGCTAGAGGCATTGGGGACTCGGTGGTAGAATTCTCAGTTCCGTACAAAGAGGATCCAGGTTCGACTCCCAGCCAGTGCTCCTCTTGGAGGACCACCACCCAACTGTCAATGGAGGCTCACAGGTTGCTCTGATGCTGAACGGGTTTCAGTGAAGCTTCCAAACTGAAATGGACCAGGAAGGAAAGCCCTAGTGTTGCACTAATCCCTACAGATCATAGCAGTCATGTCTGCAACCAGTCAGGGGAATGACGCAGGATGAGGCAGCACTGATTTCTGTTGTACGAGGGGCCACCAGCAGCTGGAGGCCAACTCCACCATAACTAACAGCAGCCACCTTTGCAGAAACTCATAGAAGGAATGGCTCTTATTTGAAGGAGATGCTTATGATTGCTCTCAGGCAGAAGTTTGAGGTCACTGGAGAAGTTGTGGCTCTAGTAGTTTCCAAAGCATAAACATATTGCAGTCTTTGTTTCTGTCCGTGATGGTGCAGGCTCCAAGACTCAAGATCTCGTCTTTGTTTTCTCCAGCCTCAACAACATCTCACCTGCTGATGCTTATCGGGACTTCTGCCTCGCTTTCAGTGGTCAAGAGACCCTGACACATCTGACCCTTCAGGGCAACGGCCAGAATGATATGCTTCCCCTGTTGAGTGAAGTCTTGAGACACGCAAAATGTAACCTGCAGTACCTCAGGTATAGCTCACCATCTCTATTGTTGTTGTGTTGTTATGTGCCGTCGAGTTGGCCCCGACTCATAGCGATCCCTCCTTGGGTTTCTGACGCAGTATCACTACGGAAGTAGATTGTCCCATCTTCCTAACGAGGAGTGGCTGGTGGGTTTGAACCGCCAGCCTTCTGGTTAGCAGTCAAATGCCTTAGGCACTGCACCACCAGAGCTCCTACCTTC